AGTAACATGCAAGTTGACTTTTTTTGGCGTATTTATTCATTTTTCTTTTTTTTATTTATTGATGTGTGTGTGTGTGTGTGTGTGTATGTATTTCATGCAGAACACCCCAAACATTCTTATTCATCTTCATACTCAAATCCCACATGGCACCCTCCCATAGCCCCTCCCCCTTCACTGGAGCTCATATACTCTGTCATCCCTCTTACTGTCCACTGTGTTATCAGTTCCCCCCCAGCCATTACCCAGTTCTAGTCCATCTGCTAAGTCTAGTCAGCCTATCTAGAGTTGCTAGTTTTAGGAAGATCAGCAAGTTGACCTTTTAAAAAGAATGTGAATAGTTTGGAGTGCTCAAAATACAAATATATGGAAAACTGAATGTATGTTTGATTTTCATCTTGCACATTTTTATGATCTACATTGAAGGAGTCATTTTCAGGGTGCAGTTGTGTAGAGTATATGAACAGGCAGTCAGTAGATAATAATTCATATTTCTATTTCAACCTTTGGTGTGTCCTGAGGCACATGACCTAACTTCATAGTCTCATTTCCTCATAAATGGGTCATGGGGAATGCATTTACATAAAGTGTGAAAATGATTACATATTACAAGTCATCATTCTTTTCTCCTCCATAATGTGGGAATCCAGATCTCCCAGTGAGTCCAGAATATAGATGTGTAGTTACTACATAATGCAGTGGTTCTTCGATTGACCAAGATTTCTTACAAGTACTTCCTGTTGTTTATAGATTTTAGGTAGTTGACAAGCTGAGATGGTGGCGGAAAAAGGTTCATGGATAGATAGTAAGTCTCAGTATTGTCAAATAAATGTGATCTAGAAACTAATGTAAAATGTAAAGTTTTTAAAATTATTTAATAACCACATATTTAGAAGAAGCATTTCATTACAACAGCATTGACATATTCAATAACAATTTCCAGAGCTAAGATGCATCTATTTCAAAATTGGTTATAAATTTTTTGGTTTACAGTTGAATTAATATACTTATACAATATTGTGCTCATTATAAACCCTTTAAGAAAAAATTATATGAGGTTTTAACCTTTAAAAAAGATCTCCATTTCATTATTAAAATACACAGTTTCATACAGAAAAATTTATTTTTAATGCAATTGACACTAAGATGTTTGCACATGAGTTTCTAAACTCTGTATCTGGTTATTACTAGTTACAGTTGGTTACTTTCTGAGCTCCTTGGCATCTGAGCATGGATATAAAGTCAGGTAGATTTCAATGGTAATGTTTTTCACATCTACTAATTATTAAGGAGCAAATTTTTATGGTTTGAAGAATTATTTTTTTTTAATTTTTTAAAAATTTAATAACCGCATGATAGAAGAAGCATTTTACTACAGCTTTAACATATTCAGTAACACACTCCAAAGCAAGGATACATCTCTTTCAAAAGTAGCTGTAAATTTTTAAGTTCCCAATTGAATTAATACAGTTTTACAATATTGATCTCAGTATAAACCCTGTAAGATACAAAATTGAATCAGTTTTTACCCTTTAAAGAAGATCTCCATTTCAAGATATG